CTCTCTTCGCGAGTCGTGGAGCGCGCCCGGTGAGCAAGAGAGCCCCGGGGTCACCACGGCCCACGGGCAGCGCAAAGGCGGCACCCCTCGGCACGCCGCGCTCCTTGCCGGGCCGATCCCTGCCGCCCAGGGACACGCGCACGCCGTCGTCCGTGACGAGGATGCCCACCTCCTGCCTCCGGGGGCGCCCGGGGTCGGGGCGGCGGCCGAGGCGCCGCGACCACCCCGCAGCAAAGCAGCCGTCGTCGCCCCACCCCCTCCTCCAACTCTTCGACGACGGCGACGACGCCAACGACGCGCTCGACGTCTCGACTCGGGAGCGTGAGGAGGGAGGGAGCCGAGGAGGAAACAGAACCCCTGCTTCGAAGGTCCTCTCCCCCCATCCCTCCCCGCTCACCCCTGAGACACGCACCGAGCAATTGCACCGCTGCGTCTGTGCCGTTCTTCCCCTTTTATGCCGACGGATGGAAGCAGGAGGAGGAGGACGCTGCTTAGGACGCTGCTTCGGGGTGGGGGGGAGGAGGAGGAGGAGGAGGAGGAGGAGGAGGAGGAGGAGGAGGAGGAGGAGGAGGAGGAGGAGGAGGAGGAGAGGAGAGGGAGGAGGAGGAAGGAGGACAGGGGAGGGGGAGGAGGAGGAGGACAGGCGGAAGAGGAAGAGGAGGAGGAGGAGGAGGAGGAGGAGGACGAGGAGGAGGAGAATGAGGAGGAGGAGGAGGAGGAGGAGGAGGAGGAGTAGGAAGAGGAGGAGGATGGGGAGGAGGAGGAGGAGGAGGAGGAGAAGGAAGAGGAGGAGGTTGAGGGGGAGGAGGATGGGTCGACACGAATAGGCGAAAGCGCGGCAGCAGGAGCACGAGGGGGCAGCGCGACAGGGGGAGGAGGAAGGCTACAGGGAAGAGTAGGGGAAGGACAGGCCGATGGGAGCAGGAGGGCTGGCAGCACGGGAAGACAGATCGACAGGAGAAGGAGGGGAAGAGGGGAGGAGGAGGGGAAGAGGAGGGGGAGGATAAAGAGCGGAGGGGATATCCATAGTAGGAGAAGGATAGAGGGAGGAGAAATAAGAGGAAGAGTGGCAGCAGCGGGAGGATAGATCGACAGGAGGAGGAGGGGGAGCTAGTAAAGCCTCCAGGGCCCCCAGAGCCCTCGAAACTCCATCAACAACGAAAGCATAGCTGTAAATTGTCCTCCAGGAGGTGAGGACCTCAGTATGTATAACCCCGCCTCACCGCCCCCTGTTCACCTAAAGGAGAGGAGGGAGTAGCGAGAAGATGAAAGGATGAGAGGGTGGTCATGTCCATCATCAGCAGCGGCAGCATCACCGTCCCTACCATTGTTTTCAGTACCGTCATCAACATCATCGTTGATATCACTATCAACACCATCGTCATCGTCATCATCACCATCATCATCGTCAGCACCGTCATTATCGTCATTATCGTCATCGTCATCACCACCATCATCATCGTCAACGCCACCACCATCATCATCATCAGCAGCAGCAGCATCATTATCATCATCAGCATCCGCATCAGCAGCATCAGCATCACCAGCATCATCATCATCAGCAGCAGCAGCATAATCAGTATCAGTACCATCATCATCAGCATCACCATCACCACCACCATGTTCATCACTAAATGCACCATCATGAGCATCAGCAGTACAAGTACCAGCATCCCCATCATAATCATCATCAACACCCTCATCAGCAGCAGCATCATGAACATCATCAGCAGAAGCATAACCACCACCATCATCATCATCATCAGCATCATCAGCATCATCAGCATCATCAGCATGAGAATCATCGTCGGCATCCCCATCGTCAGCAAATGTATTATCAACATCAGCAGCATCATCATGACCGTCATCAGCATCATCGCCATTGCCATCGCCGTTGTCGTGTTCGTCATCGTCGCTATCTGAACCATCATCGACATCGTCAATACCATTGTGGGCATCGTCGTCGTCAGTACCATCATCACAATCATCGCTGTCACAGTCTCATAATCGTCGTCAGTATCAACATCGTCATCCTATGCATCGTCATCGCAAGCAGAAGTAACATCATCCTGCCCACCGTCATCATCATCAGCAGCAGCATCCTCCTCTTCCTCATCATCATCATCATCATCATCCTCATCATCATCATCAGCATCATCATAATCAGCATCCCTACAAGTCCTTCTCCTGCTCTTCCCTCCACATCGTCCCTCCTTCTTCCAATCTCATGTCTCCCAACCGCGCCTCCCCTCCATAACGTGTACATCCCTAATTACCCCTTCCCTCCCCCATCCCCATCTCCCCCGCCCTGGGGGGAAAAAGGAACCGCTGCCGTTGCTCGCTGGACCCCTGGGTGCATGATGACCAGACTTTCGAGGAGAATCCAGCTGTGGCGACAAAGGCTCCCCCGGACGAGCAGCGGTATGGGTACCTGTTCCGACCAAGACTCCCTCCTCCTCCTCGTTATCCTTTTCCTCCTCCTCCTCCTCCTCCTCCTCCTCCTCCCCCTCCCTCCTCCCTCCTCATCCTCCTCGTTATCCTTTTCCTCCCTCGCCGCCGTCTCCCACCAACCTCCCCGTCGAGCGACGAGCGAAGCCTGCACCGCCACCCACTAACCTCCCCGAGCGGCGCGAGCACGCCCCAGGCTAGCCCTCATGCTCTTCCTCCTGCTCATGCTCCTCCTCCTCCTCCTCCTCCTCCTGCTCCTGGCCCTCATACATATATATATATACATATATATATATATACAAACATAAATCGGTACATACATTCAGACAGACAGACAGACAGACAGACAGACAGACAGACAGGAAGGCAGGCAGGCAGGCAGGCAGGCAGGGAGACAGGCAGACAGGCAGACAGGCAGACATGCGTATTCATGTATGCATGTATGTATGGATGAACGGATGAATGGATGCATTGTTCGATGGATGGATGTACGTATGTGTATGTTTGCATGTATGGGTGGATGGATGGATGGATGGCTGTGTGCATGTATCTGAGTGCGTATGTATGTACATATGTATGGATGTGTGTACGTATGGATGTATGTATTTATATAAGTAAGTAAGTATGTATGTATGTACGTACGTGTGTATGGATGCATGTATGTAGATTGTATGCATGTACGTATGTATGTATGTATGCATGGATGTATGTGTGTATGGATGTACGTACATACGTGTGTGAATGGTTGTGTGTAAATACGGATGGGTGTATATATATATATATATGTGTATGAGTGTATGTATGATTGTATGGATGTATGTGTATTTATGTATTATATGCATGTACGGGTGGACGGATGGATGGATGTATGCATGGGTGAATGTGTGTATGTGTGGATGTGTATTATCCTGGAATCGCCTCCCCATCCTCTTCAACCTCCTCCTCATCCTCATCCTCCCTCCTCATCCCCCTCCTCATCCTCCTCCTCCGTCTCCTCATCCTCCTCCTCATTCTTGTTCTTCTCCACCCCCTCCTACTCCTCCTCCTCCTCCTCATTCTCTGTCTCGTCCTCCTCCCCCTCCCCCTCCTCCTCCTCCTCCTCCTCTTCTTCTTCCTCCTCCTCCGCCTCCTCATACTCATCATCATCATCATCATCATCAGCATCATCAGCATCATCATCATCATCATCAGCATCATCATCATTATCATCATCATCACCACCACTACCACCATCTGCAGCCATCATCATCAGAATCGGCATCAGCATCATCGCTATCCTCACAATCATCAGCAACAGCACCAGCATCACAATCACCACAATCATCGTCACCGCCACCACCACCGTCATCATCAGCAGTATCGCAATCGTCATCCACAACGTCGTCGTCGTCGTCGTCATCGTAGTCGTCATCGTCGTGGTTGTCGTCGCAATCAGCATCGTCATCAGCAGCATCATCAGCAGCATAGTCAACATCATGATCTTCATCACCGTCGTCATCATCATAAGCATCATCAGTATCAATGTCATGTTCCTCATCATCATCGTCGTCGTCATCTTCAGCATCAGCGTCATGATAATGATCCTGGTCATCATCATCATCATCATCATCATCATCATCATCATCATCATCATCATCATCATCATCATCACCATCATCACCATCATCATCATCATCGCCGTTGTCGTCGTCGTAGTCGTCGTCGACGACATCCTCACCATCATCGTCATCATCAGCATAATCATTATCATCATCAGCATCATCAGCATCATCATAACCATCACCATCACCATCACCCTCAGCATCATCAGCAGCAGCAGACTCAGCAGCATCAGATCAGCATCAGCATCAGCATCAGCATCAGCATCAGCATCAGCATCATCATCATCATCATCATCATCATCATCATCATCATCATCATCATCATCATCATCTGCATAATCATCATCAGAATTTCATCAGCAGCAGCAGCATCATCATCATCATTGTCGTCGTCATCATCGTCAGGATCAGCTTTATGATCATGATCATTATCATCATCCTCATCATCATTATCATCATCAGCAGCAGCATCACCATCATCGTCGTCGAAGTCGTCGACGACATCCTCACCATCATCGTCATCACCAACATCATCATTATCAGCATCAGCATCATCAGCATCGTCAGCATCATCGCCATCGCCATCATCCTCATCATCCTCATCATCATCATCATCATCATAACCATCACCATCACCATCACCATCACCCTCAGCATCATCAGCAGCAGCAGCAGCCTCAGCATCAGCACCAGCATCATCATCATCAGCAGCATCATCAGCATCATCATCATCATCATCATCAGCATCATCATCATCATCATCATGATCATGATCATCATCATCATCATCATCATCATCATCATCATCATCATCATCATCATCATCATCATCATCATCATCATCATCATCATCATCATCATCATCATCATCATCATCATATCACTCCTCCATCCACACCTCCCAGACCACTGACTCCTGGACTCCCCGGCGCCTGTTGCCCGCCGGCGTGGTCAGCGAGGCGGCAAAGCGGCCGCTGCCGTGCGCCAGCGCGTTGTCGAGGCTGCGGCGCGTGGTGGGGTCCACCTCGAAGGGCCCGATGGAGCCGAACACGGTGCCCCGGTGGCCTGGCAGCACAGCAAGCGACTCGAGCAGAAAACGCGCTCGGAGGCCCGGTCTGCTCTCTGGGGCCGGCGCCGGACCGCCCCCCCCCCGCCCGCCCCTGGTGCGCGAGGCGCGCCAGGGGAGCGGCGCCGGAGGCCTCCTCCTCCTCCTCCTCCTCCTCCTCGTCCTCCTCCTCCTCCTCCTCCTCCTCCTCCTCCTCCTCCTCCTCCTCCTCCTCCTCCTCCTCCTCCTCCTCCCCGTCTCCCTCCGCCTCCGCCTCCTCCTCCAGCGCCGACCCGAGAAAAATCCGCGCGGACTTCCGAAATCTCATGTTAATCTAAATGGTTCAGAAGGAGGAAAAAGCGCCATAAACAGAAACTTTTGGCGCGCCGCGCGGATTTCTTGGATCTGCGCCAGGAGCGGCGCCGGAGGCGCCGCTGGGGGGGGGGGGGGCCCAGCGCGGATCCAAGACACCCACGCGGAGCGGCAAAAGTTTATGTCTGTGGTGCTTTCTCCTCTTTTCATGGCTGTTTCTTCGATGGCCGTCGTCGGCGTCGGCCGGCTGCGCCTCCACCCAGATCTCAGTGCCCACGTCGTCGGCCGAGATCTGGTTCGGGAGCGGCCAAGAGGGGGGTGTCCAAGAGGGGGGGGTGCAAATCATGACCGGCGGCATGTGCGCGGCCCAACGGGGGGGCCTGGGACGTAATGAAAGAAGAAGAGGCGCCATGAAATCTGAGGAAAAGTCATGGCCCGCGCCATGATATCCACCCCCCCTCTAGTCATCACCCCCCTCTTTTCCGCTCCCGACTGGTACATGTTCGAGGTCACGCCCGGGATCTCCACGGGCAGGTCCCCCACCTCGAGGGGGGGCGGGAGCCGGCCACCGGCAGATGCACACGCGCACCGGGGGCCTCCCGGACGGGGCCAAAGTTAGGTCGGGCGTGTCCCCCTGCAGGCGGATTTGGGACGAGAAATGAAAACGTAACCCCTAAAAAGGCTCGAAGACGTTCAAAAAATGGTCAACAAGTCATCCCCAGACTGTTGTTTATCATTCTTGAACACTCCTCCTGTAGAGGGACAGGCCCAACTTAAGGCCAGAGCAGATAGGGCTGGAGCGTCGCACCGCATCGCCGATGCATCGGCGACGTCGAAGAAAAGAGGAAGAAGAGGGAGGAGGGAGAAGAAGAAGAAGAAGAAGAACAAGAAGGAAAACACGCCGTGCCAAAGTACGAGAGCACCTCGCCAGCCCGTGATCCACTTCTGCCAAGTCGTGCTGGCACAAATCCCACATCATCCTCGAGGCGAACGCGCCGACGGAGGGAGGACGGAGGGAGGGGAAGGGGGGAGAAGAGGAGGGCAAGGCGCGCATGATCGGGATGCGCGCCAGTCCCGCGCCGCTCGTCTGCGTGCTGCTGCCAGGGCAGCGGCAATGCCAAGCCACTCCAGGCCATGATGCGCACAGGGCGGATTAGAGGCCTCCCAGATGGGGTCGGAGTAGATGTGGTCGGAGGATCGCGCCGCATCGCCGAGGCATCGGCGAGGCATCGGCGAGGCATCGGGGATGCACCAGTGATGCATCGTCGACGTCGGCGATGCACCAGCGACGTCGGCGAGACGCAAATCGGACTCCACATCGAAGCGTATCGGCGTTGCATCGGCGATGCGGCGCGATCCTCCGACCCCGTCTACTCCGACCCCATCTGAGAGGCCTAGACGGACTCAAAACATCCTGACCCAAAAATCCGTGCCGTCTCTTGTGAAGGGGCCCTGGGACACACAAATAAATACACACACACACACACAAGTAACGGAATTCCCCATACTTTCCCATATGTTCTGGGCTTCTGTCTTCCCCACCACTTCCCACATGTTCCCATATTTTCCTGGGGAGTCGACGATTACTTGTGTCTGTGAGTTTTGTTCCCTCCTGATCTTGGGAGGCCGTTGCCTACTTCCGCCGCCCCCCGCCGAGCCTCCGCGGTGGAGTCCGCCGGGGGAGGCCGCCTTCCGCCGAGGCGGAGGTGCCAACTCCTCCGAGCCTCGAGGGCAAGGCCCTCCCATCCCTGAGTGCCTCCCGTGCGTTCAAGAGCATCTCAAGATTCGGCGGCGAGCCAGGGGGGGGGAAGCGAGAAGCAGAGGGCCTTCTCAGAGGGCGGCGGGGCTTCCGAGAGGTCTTCCGCGGTTCCCGGGAAGGCTCAGGAGTCTGCTCAGAAGGCCGGGGGACTTCCCAGCCCTCTGAGAAGGCCTTCTGAGTACCGTTTAACCGATCCCCATCCCCAGCGGCGTGGCCTGGGCCCCACTGGCCGACTTACCCCCTAGATGGGGATGTGGGCCGCTCCCTTCGGGTTTCGAGGTGTGTATCCCCAACTGGGGTGGTAATTTGGTGGGGGTCTCGAAGAGGATGGGGATGGGGATGGGGATGGGGATCGGTGAAACGATACTGACCTTCTCCGTCTCACTTCCCCCCCTCGCTCGCCGCCAAGAGGTGGAAGAGGCATCGAGCTGGGGCGAGCGGAGCGATCCTCCAGCCCCCGCCCGGCAGGCCCGGGCCAAAACTCTGGCCCCGGCAAGAGGCCTGCCCTGGAGACAGGGGGTCGAGGTGCACGCGCACCACTGGCCCGGGGCAGGTGCGCCCAGAGATGCGCTGCTCCGGATCTGCTCAACACGGCCACATACGCCCCCTGAGATCCTTCAGCTCAGCGATCTGGCCCTTGAGCGTCTCCATGGCGACTGGGGAGGCGAGCACTACTGAACGGATGGATTTTGATATGCCCGGACACCGAAGTCCATCAGTTCAGTAGTCCTCGTCTCCCTAGTCGCCATGGAGACGCTCAGGGGCCAGATCGCTGAGCTGAAGGATCTCAGGATGCGTATCAAAGCGTGCAGCAGGGACGGGTGGCCAGGACATCCTCCGCGCAATCGCTCTTTCGGCAGCTGGCCTCGGCAGCGCCCGCGGGCCCCCCGGGTTTTTTTCGCCCATCTCTCAGCTAGGGCATCCTGCGACCCCCCTTGCGGCAGCCCTTCATGGACCCCCTCCATGTGGCCACTGGGGCCTTAGGTGGATATCCCTATGGGGCCACGAAACGCTGTACTGGGTGTGGCGGACGCATGTGGCCACCCCCACTGGGCTTTCGGTGAAACTTCCTATGAGGCCACGAAACGCTGTACTTCCCCCCCCCTTCCCCTCCCACCCCAGGCTCGCCACGGCGATGCCGCTGACCCTTGCCGTCTGCCTTGTTGGAGGCCGAAGTTGGGTGTTTGGGGGGGCGGCGGGCGATCCGTGAAAACGGCAAAGGACACAAGGGCACCCTAAATAAAGGCGCGCGTCCTTACTCTGCGCGTCGACTGTGCGAGCTACCTGCCAGAACACCCCAACCCAACCCGAAGCCCCAAATTTCGGGTTGGGGGGGGCGGTACGGGTTCCATCTGTGTTTGGAATGTTCCAGGACACCCCCCCACTGGGACTGGAGGGCAGCTTGGGGGTCTTCGGGTTGGGTTTGCGTGTCTTAGTGGGTAAGGAAGCACGGGGTTCCCGAAGTCAGGACCCCTTTTCCCCAGGGCCAGCTTTTTAATCCTGAGTTGTTATTTGACGGTCAGCGGGGCCCGTCGAGAGCCCCACGATGCCGAAAACGACGAAATCCTCCCGTCGTGATTCCGTCGTGATTTTCTCAAACACGCTGGAGATCTGGATGCGCATCACTGGCCAGGCCGGGGGTGCGCATGCACAGATCCCGGGTCCAGGATAGGCCTGGCCAGGATCGGCGTCCCCCGCGGGCCACCCTGCGCTTCCACTTGCACTTCAGGGGGATGGGCATGTTCGACGTGAAGCTCTCCGCGGCGGCGATGAGCACGCCTGTCTGGAAGAAGCCGCCGCCCTCCAGGCGGAAGGTGAAGCGGAAGTTGTGGTCCCCGCTGACCCTCCCGAGGGAGACGTCCTCAGAGGGGCAGAACGCAGCATCCGCCAGGCCCCCCCCGCAGGGCTGCCAGGCTGCGAAGGCCGGTCTGCGCCAACGCACACACAGGTACCAGTCCTGGCCTCCTCGGTCCCAGTCTCCAGTCTCCAATGTTGCAGTTCCACTTCTTACTTTCTACATCTTTCTACTGATAGTTATTACGTTATTGCTCTCCACTCGAGGAGGAGACGAGAGCCGAAAACAACTCTGGTTACCAAGGCCTCCTCGGGTTCTCAGAATTCTCCGGAGCCCCCGAGGACGAGTAAAAATGCATTACGTTCGATCTCTCGTGAATTATCCCAGATTCGCGCCCCCGAGGCGACGATCCATCATGAATTACACCAGGTTCGCGTCCACGAGGCCACGATCCCACGTAAACTACGCACGATTTGCACCCCCGAGACCACGAGACCTTTCAAAATGCCCGAAGGTTCACGCCCCCGAGACCACGATCCCTCCTAAATCATGCCAGGTTCGCGCCCCCGAGGCAAAAAACCTTCGTAAACAATCCCTCCCAAATTACCCCGCACTCGCGCCCCCGAGTACGCACCTCCATAACTACAATCCGTAAGTTGCGCCAGATTGGCACCCCCAAGGCGACGCGACCTTGCAAGATATGCCAGGCTCGCGCCCCGAGGCCACGATTTCTCGCAAAGGACGTCACGTTTACCAGCCGTCCTCGCACGAGGTTCCAACATTGCTGCAAGTCGGCGCCCAGGCACCCCAGCATAGCTCTTGCACATCCCGTTATGATAGAGAGGCGGCCAGCGGCAGAGGGCGAAGCCCTGACGTACAAGCATGAACTTTCGGCACTCCGCGCGGACTTCTTGGATAGGCGCTGGACCCCCCTGGCGGCGCCTCTGGCCCCGCCCCTAGCGCGCTCCGCACGCCAGGGAAGGGAGGTCCAGCGCCGATCCAAGAGGAAGTCCGCGCGGAGGTCCGGAAGCTTGTGTTTGTGCGGCTGGTTTCTTCTTCGGCGTCCTGCGCCGACTCGCAGAGCTGCAGCATCCTGGGGATCTCCAGCACGCCATCCCTCCCCCCTATCCCGCCTCAGCCTCCTCCTCCCGCTTCTCGCCTCCCCCCCCCCACCACTGCGGGGAGCCGAGAGGGGGGGACGCACTCGGGGGGGAAACCTTTCTTTTTGACACAGCAGGAGCGCAACAACTCACGAGACAGAGTCCAATGGCAGCCTCGCCGTGCCCGTGAGGTGGACCCCGAGGTCCTGCGTTGCTGGGAAGGGCAGCGCGCCCGGTGCAGACATATTGACCCGGACTCGGCGATGCATCGCCGAGGGGTCGGCGATGGCCCCCGAGAGGGGAGCCCCGCGCCCCAGGGCAGGTCGGGGCACACGGGGCCCGATCGGCAAGGAAGGGGCGCTCGGGGGTCGATATGGTTGCGCCTCCGAGCCAGTGCCCCGTTGTTGGCGCCCCTGGCACCCCCTTCCTCCTCTTTCTCCTCCTCCTCCTCCTCCTCTTCCTCCTCCTCTTCCTCCTCCTCCTCCTCCTGCTCCTCCTCCTCCTCCTCCTCCTCCTCCTCCTCCTCCTCCTCCTCCTGCTCCTCCTCCTCCTCCTCCTCCTCCTCCTGCTCCTCCTCCTCCTGCTCCTCCTCCTCCTCCTCCTCCTCCTCCTCCTCGTGCTGCTCCTCCTCCTCCTTCTCCTCCTCCTCCTGCTCCTCCTCCTCCTCCTCCTCCTCCATCCGGTTTTTTTCCCCACAGATAAATCTCCGCCCCGTCGCTCCCCCCAGACTTGTCAGTAGGGCGGGCAGAGGCGTTTCGCCCGAGACTTCCTCGCCACGCATGACCCCGCAGCTGGAACCGTGCGAAAGTTTCACGGAACGATGACTACCTACAAGACCACCCCAACCCAACCCAAAGACCCGAATTTCTGGTTGGGGGGGTACGGGCTTCATGTGTGTTTTTGTTCCATGTTCTCCGACCCCTCCGCAACTGGAAATGGATGGCAAATTGAAACCTTCGGGTTGGGTTGGGATGGTTTGGTGGGTGGAGAATGAGGGCGGGTGGTTTTCAAAATGTGGCTCTCGCCCCAGCGCAACGCACACCGCTTGCTTTCTCAAAGCTCGCCACAGTTCGGCGGTGTTGATCATGTGCCTCTCGCTGTATACCGCCGCAAACACTTGTCTAAAGAAGGTTGCAGCAGCCTCAAGGACAGAGAGCCGCTCCGTTTCAAAATGTGGCTCTCGCCTTCGCGCCGCGCACATTCGCTTTAAAAACTTACAGCCTTGTTAAGGATTCGTACGGTTGAAGTCCCAGAGATGGTAATCTGGCACGCTTTAGGACTGTCAAGGACGCATGAAGTCCCAGGAATGGTGTTCCAGCGCGGCTTAAGACTGTAAGGGCGCAACAGTAACGTTGATTCGCGGCGCTGAGGTCCCACGAATGCCGTTTGGGCACGATAGAGCATTCTCAAACGGGTTGTCTTCCAGTGGGCAACTGTCCGCGATGAAAATACATTATTACAGGGATCTATTAAAACGGAACCTTGAGGGAAGGTTTATTCCAGCATGGTTGGTGCGTCTTGGGTTCACACTGGTCCTCCTCCTTCTCCTACTCCTCTCTCCATCTCCTCGCCCTCCTCCTCTTCCTCCTCCTCCCCCTCCTACTCCTCCTCCTCCTCCTCCTCCTCCTCCTCCTCCTCCTCCTCCTCATCATCATCATCATCATCATCATCATCATCATCATGTTCATCATGTTCATCATCATCACCATCATCAGCATCATCATCATCAGCAGCATCATCATCATCAACATCATCATCATCCTCATCATCCTCTTTATCCTCATCATCATCATCAGCATCATCATCATCATCATCATCATCATCACCATCATCACCATCATCATGAGCAGCAGCATCAGCATCAGCATCAGCATCAGCATCATCATCATCATCAGCAGCATCAGCATCAGCATCAGCATCCTCCTCCTCCTCCTCCTCCTCCTCCTCCTCCTCATCATCATCATCATCATCATCATCATCATCATCAGCATCATCATCATCATCATCATCATCATCATCATCATCATCATCATCATCAATGTTACCACCATCATAATCCGCCGACCCTTTGCGGTTCATCGCCGTGTGAGATGCTTCCCCCTCCCCAAACCCCTCCCGCGGGAGCCCGGTCAGGTCGATTTGGAGGGGGGGGATCTACCCGGGCCGGCCGGCGGCCAGGGGGGTACTTTGCTCCAGAAATTCTGCCGGGGGGGGCATCGAGGGCTGCAAAAGGGGCCACGAGGGCCCCAAGAGACCTCCAAGACGGTCCAAGAGGGCCTCGAGTCGCCGAAACATCGTCCCAAGACGCCCAAGATGGCCTCCAGACGGCCCAAGATGCCCCCAAGACGCCCCAAGAGGCTTCGAAGAGACCTCCCAAGAGGGCCCCAAGAGGCCAAAATCGTTGATTTTCAACTGTTTTTGTCCAGGTGTTTGGCTTTCTCGCCTTTTCGGGCTTCCGACGCTCGAAGACGGCTCAAGAGGCCCACAAGACCGCCCCAAGACGGCCCAAGAGACCCCCAAGAAGGCCCCAAGACTGCCCAAGAGGGCCCCATGACGGCCCAAGAGGGCCTCAAGACAGCTCAAGAAACTCCAAGAGGGCCCCAAGAGGGGCCCAAGAAGGGAACCACGAACCGAAAATTCTAGCTTTCCGCCCCACGAGGTTCCCCAGGAGGCCCCAAGAGGCCCTCCAGGGGCCTCAAGAGGCCCCCAAGAGACCCCCAAGAGGCCCAAAAGAGACCCCAGGAGGCCCCAAAACAGCCCCCCAGAGGCCTCCAAACTGCCTCGGGCAGGCCCCCGAGAGGCTTCTCACAAGATCCCAACGAACATCCAAGAGGCCTCTGAACCACAAGCCAGGCACGGTGGCTGGATGGGCCGAACGAAGGCCACGATGTATCAATATAAGCATGAGTCACGCAGCACCCAGAAGCAGCAACAGCGACTCTCCCCCAAGGGGTCAGCGGTGCGGCGTAAGCCAAAGAATCATCATCATCATCATCATCATCATCATCATCAGCAGCAGCATCAGCATCAGCATCAGCATCAGCATCAGCATCATCATCATCATCATCATCATCATCATCATCATCACCCCCACTACCACCACCCCACCACCACCACCATCATCACCACCACCACCGTCATCATCATCATCATCATCATCATCGTCGTCGTCGTCATCATCATCATCATCATCATCATCATCATCATCATCACCACCATCGTCATCAGCATCAGCAGCAGCATCATCAAAATCATCGTCATCAGACTCAGCATCCTCATCGTGATAATTGCCATCATCAGCATCATCATCACCATCGTCATCATCAACGTGATCTCCCTCCTCATCCTCATCCTCCTCCTCATCACCATCAATATCACCATCATCATCGTCGTCATCAGCAGAATCACCATCATCATCATCAACATCGTCGTCATCGCCAGCATCATCAACGTCGCCATCGCCACCATAGCATCGTCATCATCATCATCATCATCATCATCATCATCATCATCATCATCATCATCAACAGCAGCATCATCATCATCATCACCATCACCAGCATCATCACCATCATCATCGTCGTCGTCCTGTTCCCCCTGGTCCTCGCCCCCCTCCTCCTCCTCCTCCTCCTCCTCCTCCTCCTCCTGCTCCTCCCGTCCGCCGGCAGCCTGGGGATCTCCAGCAGGCCATCGCGCAGCTTCTCGAGCCCGGCCTCCAGGCCCCGCGGGTCGTTCAGGGAGCGCGCGAGCTCGTGCAGCGTCTGCATGGCTGCGCCCGCTCCCCCCCCCCCCCCCGCGCGGGGGGAGCTCGGGTCCGGCCCCGCGCGCCCGCTGCGCTG